TCTTTCCCTTACTAGAATAAAAAGTGCCTTATGGATGTAGGAGGAGGTCAGAATTTGGATTGAACTTCTATGTACCATAATGATTTTTTCCTTGAAAAAAGAGTTCTAGAAGTTAAAATGTAGCATGTGTACAGCCAAGTTTTCTGTAGTTGGTAGTTTTTAGCCCTCTTGCAGTGTTACTAAGGTTTATTTAATAGTTTGCATCCTATCTAAATTGCACTGGGACTATCAGAAAGTGTCTTCTCGGTTAGGAGCAGCTGTCACTCAGGTAGCCACAGGAAAGGCAGTGAATGCAACAGCTAGGCTTGTGCCACTGATTATGATGATAACTTGCATATGAGAGACCATTTTCAAAAACAAAAAGTCTGATTATGAGCTACATTGTCCAAAGCCATTTATGTTGCTTAATTCCTTGGAATTGTAACTAATGACATGACAGGGCAGGGTGATGAGAGAATAAGAATCTACTGTCAGTAGACGGTTGTTAATCTTAGGTGAATTCAAAGTACTTGGCCTTCAGGTATAGTACAGCTGACATGAAAATCTCATGGGATCTCAACACTCCTAACGCTCCATACAGATCAGGCCATTGCCTTGGTAAAACAGTATGCTAGTTATCAACCAGAAGCAGTGCAGCTGTAATACAGCTTATTGAAGCTCGCTAGCTTAGATGCAGTGCGATATTGAAATAAGTGTGCTGCTTCCAGTTTGTTTTGGCTGTATAAACAGTGCTAATTTAAGATGATTCAAGCAAGGATAGAGTAATACCATATTTTTCTCAGCAGATCCCATTTGTAACAGAAATGATGGAACAGGCTGTAGCTGTGAAACTAGCAACCAAATTCACTTTTCATGTGAGTCAAACTGAAGCAGTTTACCAGAAATGGAACAGAGTTGTTTCAAAACACCCAGTTGAAATCAGCTTATAGAGATTTAGGTTTTTGAATTAGTGAACAATTACAAGAATGTCCCTCTTTCTGCTGCTTCATTTTTTGTATCTTGGCTTTGAATTCATTGTTTTAAAATGTGCTCTGTCTTTGCTTCATTGGACAAAATGTCCTGGCAGTGAATGTCATGATTTGAAGAATTACACTTTTTACCTTGGAATTCCATCTGATTTTGGGTGGGGGAAGTATATACATCTAATAAATAAATTCCCATCTTTCTATTCAGGGAATTCATGATTATAGAATTTGGCTTCTGTTTACTGGCCAGCCAAGATGCTTATATGAAAGCTTTGTGCTTAAAACTCTGAAGTGGCTTGTATAACTTGCACAAATACTTCTTGGTAGCTGATGAGCTTCATAATAAACTGTAAGTTTGTGTAGTCTTGCCAGCTGCTATGCCATGCTGGAGATTACTGTTGCTACTCCATGTCTGGTCCACAGTGTGCAGTAAAGCCCCAAAATAAGGAATTGTGTATCCAGTTTAGAGCAAGGCTCAGCCGGTACCCTGTTGCCCCTCAGGCTGTCTTGGTGTGCTTCTTGAAATGTGCTCAGGGCTGCTGTGAGGTACTTACTCTGCCTCATTTCTGGGATTTGGCATATGCTGAATGGGAGTGAAAGAAGGAGGGGGGCACAGCGTGCACAGTCATAGGAAACTATGGCTCCAGGCAGGGCATGTCTAGGCTGCTTCTCTCCCAGAAAACTCCATAAATAACCCGTTTGAGTCATGGTTAGAGCTAAGTTTGCCTAAAGAGAAATGGAGTACACCAACCCTCAGACCATGGAAAAGATAGGGGGCAAGGTGTGGCTGGAGCCCCTGAGCTGGCAGTGGACCCCAGGGAAACCAGATGTATGAAGTGGGGGAACTGCCTGGGGAGTTCCTCTCCTCAACTGATCTGGGGATGGGGAGAGCAGTAGTGGTGTTAGGGGAGGGCAAACCTGGCAGTCAGCTGGGGTCCTACACTTTGTACAAATAAAAATGAATTACAGTGAATATGTGTATTATCCATATTGTATTAAGATACTTTCATTGCAGTTTCATGGATAGGGAAAAGTGAAATTGAAATCGAAAATGTCCGACTTGCTTATAGGTCGTCAAAATTAAGCCTCTAAGGGGCCCCACATGACTCTCTTGCCCATGGCTCCAACAGCCGTAAGGCCACCATTGGGGAAAGCTTCAGACCTGCTGCTTCTACACTGTATCTGCACGGGGTACCAGGCTTGGCTGGGGGCAGTTCCCTCATTCCAGTGCTTGTTCTTGCCTTCTTCCCACTTCCACTCCACTCCCACCCCATGGGTGGCAGCAATTTCTGGAAGAAGGAATGTGCCCACTGCTGCCACTATCTTTATTTTTTTTCAGTGAATCAATTTATGAAATGGCCTGTTAGACCACTAGATCTTACCCTCATTTTTACTAGTCTTGCAACTTTTTTCACGTTTGGTTTTGCTTAGAGGTGAACTTCAAAGCAGAAACAAACTAACCTTTCCTTTCTTAGGATGCATAGGAGTTGTTTCATAAAGTGTTATTTTTGTTAGCTTTTATATATTAAAAAAATAATGTAATATGTAAGCAGTGAAGTCCCTGGCATCCTTGCTCTTCCCTCATTGGAGCAGGAGGCAGCAGGGCGAGAGAGCAGCAGCTCTGGATTAATACTGCCACTTACGTCCTGAGTAGCTCTCTCTTTTATTTTAGTCTTCAATATTTGATTCACTAGGTGATTTTTTTTCACTTTAATTGCAGTATATATGAAAATGTTCATCTGTACTACCAGTTGATAAATATTTTACTGAATACCCAACACTGATCTTGACCCATCATCCCTAATGTTAAAACTGTAGTGAGTAAATGACTGAAGTAATGCAGGTGGTGAACATAGTCGAGCATTGCTTAGCAAGATGCTTTCCATGCTCATGTCAAAGTTTATTAGTGTTCCAAAATATATTCTTTCAGATTCTTAGAGATCATGTGTACAGTAGCATAAATCTCAATATTAAGGTTGAGTGTTTGTCTGCCTTGACACCTCAAACATAACAGTTTAATAAGTGATTATTTCATTTAAAAACTCCTGAAAGAAAATAGCTTTAGGAATATTTTGGCTATTTGGCAAACATGACTCTTGAACACAAAGGCCAAAGGTTAATCCTGGATTTGCAAGAAGTGACCAGTCAAACACGCTAAACTGTAAACAAAATATTTGCACTGTTTTCCATTCACAAAAACCCTGTATTACTTTTACAAGTTTGCCACTGGATGCTGTCCAATTGGATAAAATCGTTTACTATCCTTAACTAGGAGTACTACAGAAGAGCAATTTGCACTGAAGAACACAGACTTCTCATATATTACTTCATAGAATTATGTGCAGTCAATTTTTTGCTAGATTCTCTTTATTTATGATAAAACATTGCAGACTGAAGGATTCTGCAGCTGTATTTTGAAAATTACACTATCAAGGTAACTACATAAGTATTTATATTCAGTACTAAAGTATCTTGCTAGTTTAATTTCCTTCAGTTCTCACTTGATGAACTCAATATCTAAGACTTTTCATTAAAAATGTAAATGGTGTCAAGATCTTCAAACATTTTTGGTAATTATGGGGCAGCACAATATTAAAATGAAGCTGTTGGAGAAACTTCTTTAGTTCTGGCCTTTAAAATGTAATATTTTGCACCTTCTTTGTATCTGTAGAATCCTTGGTGCTCTAAAGCTAATAAGAATTACAAAACAGCTTTTGTTTTAGCCCAGAGTTTCTCTTGATTGTCAAATTTACCATACTCTTCACCTATTAAAACCTAACTCGTTCTCTTGCAGGCATATGTTTTTCTTGCATATAAAGGAGGATCTTTTGGCTGGTAATCTGCAATGTTCTTCAGAGCATGCAATTGAACTTAGTGCATTGTTGGCTCAGGTGAGGTTTGGAGATTACAACCAGAACACAGCCAAGTACAGCTATGAAGAGTTATGTGCGAAGGAGCTCACCACTGCCACCTTAGAGAGGTAAAAAGGGCTTGCTAACTGCTGAAATTGGTGTTCATAAAATATAAATCTTTGACTGCATTAAGTAAAGTATATAACTAGTATTAAAGTCGGGTGTGGGGGGGGAGGTAAATCAAAGCTAGTGTTAAATTCATCCAGCCTTTGAAAGGAAATCAAAATGTAACAATGCTTTTAATTGAAGCAGTCTGATCTGTCTGATATTTCTGTTATAATCTATAGGTGAGCAGTCTTCTTGTTTGGAAACTGAAGTAACTGTTTGGTCCTTAATTAAAAGTAAAGGTTTGATCATAGCGCAACTAAATTATCATGCTAAATTCAACAATGAAGCACAGTGTTTAAAGAGGAGAGTGAAAATTATTGCTTTGTGACAGCTATACAAAGAGAATTAACACCTCAAACACTTTGTATGGCTCGACCCTGAATGTCAAGGAGAAAATCTCAACACCATATTTTACTGCAAGACAAGCTTTTTTGGGTAAATGTAATATCTTTTATTAGACAAACTAAACAGTTGGACAGATTATTTTTACAAGTTTTTGGGTTCACACGCCCTTCTTCAGGCATAGAAAGAGTCTGCTGGTGTTTGTGTTCTCTCAGCTTAAGCAAATATGCAAAATGCAGGTCTGTGAAAACAGAAATACCTGGCAGTAGAGGTGCCCGATACATCAGTCTGATATCAGATTGGTACCGATATGAAGAAAATTGTCTATATCAGATACTGGCCCTATAGGGCTGATAATTTGGCCAATAAATGCCTGTGCTGTGTGCAGCTGCAGCACAGCATGAAGCAAAGCCAGCAGTGTGGAGAACTGCTTCCAGCTGGAAAATTGGAAGGGAAGGGGGGGAAGGAAGGGGTGTGGGGGGGCAGATTAATGCCCCTGTGGTGGGGGAGGGGGCAGGGGCAGGCACTGCCCAGCCAGGATGGAGAGAGGGCAGGGCACAGGCGTGGCTTGTGGGGTGGGGGCAGCTTCTGCCACTGCTTGCACCCCAGGAGGGTGGGGAGGTGTGTCCCCAGATCTGCCTGACGTGGGGCAGGCTGCAGCTGCACGATGGAGCCAGAGCTGGCACTGTGCATGGCTTTTCTTGCTGGGGGTGGACTCAGAGTGGGCTCTGGCAGCGCTGGGAGGAGGCAGGTGGTGGGGGAAAAGGGGGGAATGTTGACCAGTGATGAAATGTAGCTGGTAAAATGCAGAAAGATTACCTGGAGTTATTAGATAGCAGGCAGGTTATAATGATATATTAGATAGCAGGCATTGTCATAAATCCAATGTTTATATTTATACTTAACTGCTGAGAACTTTACTATCTGAAAGCCTTAGCGTATGCAAATGGAATTACTGGGCTCGGATCAAGTAGAGCCTTTTCTCTATAGCCGTTAACAAAGCGCATACAAAACACAAGTCCTTGAAATGGTTAAATATTTTAGTTCTTTTATTCTTTATATTTCTATAATTGGAAATGTTTACTCAGCTGCAACTAAACGAACTTGGAAGTAACTCATCTAACCACATCACTTAAAATTTTATAACCTATTACTGCAGATAGTACATATGTATGCCAGATTAGTTCACCTGTACTCACTCTCCCTTCTCTTTCATCTATAGCATTACTGCAAAGCACAAGGAACTAGAAGGTTTGAGTCGGGCATCAGCTGAGTACCAGATTCTTCAAATTGTGTCAGCTCAGGAGAACTATGGAGTAGAGTGGCACTCGGTGAGAGACAGTGAAGGGCAGAAACTTCTTATTGGTGTTGGTCCTGAAGGCATTTCCATCTGTAAAGATGATTTCAGCCCCATTAACAGGTATGTCAGTGGCAAAAACCTGGCATTTCAGCTGTTCTAAGACACAATGTATGCTTTATGGTTCTGTAGAAGTAATTAAAACTATATTCTGGCTTGGGTCTTTAAAGAAACTGTTGGAACTCAGGGAATGGGGATTTATTCATTTCTAATGGCCAGTCAGGACACTGCTGCCTGGTAAATCATTGTGGTACCAATCGTATCATTAGGATACCATTTAAAAGTTAATATATTGTACTTGCCAACCAAAATCAGAGATGTTGTTTTATTTTCAGATATGGTCATATCATTGCTAATAGAATGCTTGAGAGGCTGTCAAAAGTGGCTTAATTGTTAGAGGCAGAATAACCCCCCCCACCTACTCTTTTATATTTACTTTTAGGATTGCTTATCCTGTTGTTCAAATGGCAACTCAGTCTGGGAAGAATGTGTATCTGACCGTCACAAAGGAGTCTGGTAATAGTGTAGTTCTCTTATTTAAGATGGTCAGCACCAGAGCAGCAAGTGGACTCTACAGAGCAATTACAGAGACTCATGCATTTTACAGGTTTGTATTGTTAAAAGTTAATTGTCCTTCCTCCATTTTCATCATTTGAGTCGAGGCATTAAGGCTAACACCAGATTATAAACAGCCAACACTTTGTCACACTAGGTTATGATTTTAGAAATTCAGTTTGGAATTTCATCATATTTATGTAGCTGTTTCTTGCATATGTTGCACCAGAAATGGCACAGGTGATATGAAAGAAGTTCAGATGTTCTAGTAAGCTCATGAATAGATCTTGCTGCTATGAGGTTTTGTAGGGTGAGAATACAAGATATGAAAGTGAGAGAGTTTTTCCCCCATTATTTGGGTGTCACACTTCAAGAGGGACTCGGAGAATTTGTAGAGGGTCCAGAGGAGGGCCCACTCGCATGATTAGTGGCCTTCGTGATAGCCCCTGTGGGGGGAGGTTGAGAGAGCTGAATCTCTTCAGCCTTCACAAGAGATGGCTAAGGGGAAATCTTGTGGCTGCCTATAAATTTATTAGGGGAGGTCAACGGGGAATAGGGGAAGCGCTGTTTACTAGGGTGCCCCAGGGAGTGACTAGGAATAACGGGTGTAAACTAGTTGAGAGTGGATTTAGGTTAGATATTAGGAAGAAATTTTTTACAGTAAGGGTGGCCAGGATCTGGAATGGGCTTCCAAGAGAGGTGGTGCTATCACCTAGCTTGGAGGTCTTCAAGAGGAGGCTAGACAGTCACCTGGCTGGGGTCATCTGACCTTGGTCCTCTTTCCTGCTAGGGGCAGGGGGTCAGACATGATGATCCATTGTGGCCCTTCCGACTCTACAATCTATGAATCTATTACACCACAATGGCACTTCAGACGAAAACTAAATCTGGCTCTAAATCAAATACAGTTGTTTGTAAGGCATTGCATACTTTGTGGAAATAATTACTTTATTATGTACACCAAGTGCTCCTTGCATTCTTCAGTTTCCCATATGTCCCTTGTATTACGTCTTCCCTTGTAGGTGCTCCCTGAAACTTCCTCTTTCCTTCCTCAGGCCTAGGATTTTTTTGAAATCTTCTACTACGTGCTGGGCCATATTCTGTTTCCCACGCCTCACTCCTGTATTTTTTCCCCATCCCAAAAGTAGTTTTTATGTCTCCCTTTTCCCCACCATTACTGTCTTTCTGGCTGTCTGTGTGCTATGTATTTCAGCTGGTTAGCTGTGAAGTTGAAAACTGATCAACATAGCTATGTCAGCCAAGCCACCTGTGTACTGGCAATACTGTACTTTCACTAGTACTGTTTTGTTTGGGATTGATGGAGTAAACAATATTAGAAACATCAGATTTTCTGGTGTATGCTGTGTATCCATATTGAATGCATTCTGCTGGTGTATAATACAAGTATATTGATAAAGTGTTCCTGATGTAGATATAGCTCAAGTCATTCAAGATATGTCTGTCTATACAATGCAAAGATGATACCATGCTGAGATGTACTACACTAGCTCCCAGAGTGAAAGCAGTATATAGCTGCATTAGGTTGGTGCTACTTTCTGGCAATCTAGCTCAGCTGATTGGTACTTTCAGTTCAGGGGCTAGCATGGTTGTCTTAGCACAGCGCTGCTTTTTCACCATATAGATTTACCCTGTATACCAGCATGCTGTAAAGACCAATATAAGTGAGATGGGGTACATGCTTCTATGGAAGGTGTTAATGGCTGCTATCAGACAACTGTGCCCACTTTTCTGTTTCCATTTCTGACATTCATCAGAATCAACAAGATTGTTTACCAATGCTTGGAGAATTTCCTGAAATGTGCATACAGTCAACTCGCAAGAGTTACCACATTCTAGACAAAAGTGCCATGAAGCTGGGTTATAGCCTTTGTTAGCCATTTCTCTTATATTATTGTAGTGCCTCTTGTAGGGCCCATTTTGCTAGATGCCATACAGTGCAAGAAATGTAAACGCTTTATAGTACTGAAAGTGTAATGTAACATCAGTCTTCCAGTTCTTTAAAACATTTTTGGAAATAGAACCATCATATGGAATTATAGGGCACGTCTACACATTCATTAATGCACTTTAGGTAATGCACACTAAATTTAGTGCCTCCATTGTGAGGTACTAGAAAAAGTCACATTAGCTTATTTTAGTGCACATTAGCTAAAGAGCATGATTTTTGTGACTCTTTCATGTGCATTAAAATAGGCTAATGTGATTTAAAGAATGTGTAGGTGCGCCTATAGAACCTATGTATGCCATGAAGCTTTCTGATCTTGTTGGTAGTGGTACTGCTGCTTGAGTGTTTGGAACAAATAGGGCGGGGAAGGAGTTTTCAGTATTAACTGAGTTGGCATGTATCTCATGGATTTATTTTCTTGTAGATGTGACACAGTTACAAGTGCTGTCATGATGCAGTACAGTCGAGATCTAAAGGGCCACCTAGCATCCTTGTTCCTGAATGAAAACATTAACCTTGGTAAAAAATATGTCTTTGACATTAAACGAACATCCAAAGAGGTTTACGATCATGCAAGAAGGGCTCTTTATAATGCTGGTATTGTGGATCTTGTTTCAAGAAGTGATCAGACTCCACCAAGTTCTCCTCTTAAGTCTTCAGAAAGTAGTATGAACTGTGACAGTTGCGAGGGTCTTAGCTGCCAGCAAACCAAGGCTCTTCAAGAAAAGTTGCGGAAGCTGAAGGAGTCTCTTTTATGTATGGTGTGTTGTGAAGAAGAAATAAATTCAACCTTTTGTCCCTGTGGCCACACAGTATGCTGCAAAGCCTGTGCTACCCAGTTGCAGGTAATTGATTGAAAGGTCACTGAAGTGCAATGAGAATTTTATTTTACTCTTCATTTTTTAATACTTGTTTAACACATCAGGACCAGTATGTTCTGTAAAAATCCCTTAGGAACAAATTTATTTTCCTAGACCATGTTTGTTTAGTTCCATTTATATAGCTTTGGTTAACAAGAATATTTTAGAGGGGCTAACCAGGTTAGACTTTTACTTCTGCTTAAGCTTAATGAATTTACAGAAGAGCTAAGGATGAGCTGCATAAACTTTTTGGGATACATTGTCAGTGCTATGAGTATGTAACACCACACCATTTTCATGCATGCAACTTGCACTTTCCCCCCCAAAAAAGGCATTTTCTGGAAATGGGAGGGTATTTTATGTGAGAAATGTGGTAACAGTTGTTTTTACTGCTTTAGGTGAAACAAAGCAAAATCTGCAGCGGTCCACAGGGAGCAGAACAATGAGCTCCCTGGCTGCTGTTACTAACTACAAAGTTCCCTCTTAATTCACTCTGCCTTTCAAAAACAAGGTGGCATGTTATTCTGTGGTTTTGTATGCAAGAAAATTGTGTGTGTGTCATATTTTATGTAATGCACAAACATCAGAATTCTGTATGTCAATTATATAGTGTGAATTTTCTCCCATAGTTCTCCTAAGGTAGTTTTTTGTGCTCATAAAAAGTCTTGCATTGAGAAGAAGGTAATTCCTAATGCTTTTGTTTTTCTTCTCCCCAGTCATGTCCAGTCTGTAGGTCTCGAGTAGAGCATGTCCAGCATGTGTACTTGCCAACCCACACCAGTCTTCTCAATCTGACAGTGATATGATCTCCGTGTGTGCTTTTGAACCATCATGTACTCTTACAAACTGCACTAGTCTGAACTACCATTGATTGTGAATAAGGCAATCACTCCAGCACCAGTCTGCAATCAGAAGCAAAAGTTCTACAACCCTAGTCATCAATATTCTTTTTTCAGCATGCCCAAGAAGACCTTTGGGATGCCTTGTGAAAATAGAATTCTAAACAAATTCGTGTCACATTAAAAGGAGGCAAAAGTACCTTTTGATGCATGAGTTTGCAACATGGTATTATAGCTATAAGCTAGATAACCCTGTAGAAATGTGGTGTAAGCATATAGATATTCCCAGCAGGGGCAATTCAGTATGTAATTTTACACTTTTATAATTTTGTTTATATTTTCTTCCTTTAGTGTGATCAATCCATTTATTTTTAGTAGCAAAACTAGTTTTTACGAAGCTGCAACAATTTTACTATGGTTCATAGTTTCTGCTTTTAGCACATTGTTCTAAAGTTGGGGGTGGGGGAGTTTAAAATTAATGTTTTTAAATTTAGGATTGCAAGGCTTTTAACAGGGAGGTGCATTTAAATCAGCAGTTTAGTCAGCACTAAATAGATTTAATCCAAATCTTGATGGTATGATTTTGGAAGTTTTGCAATAGATCTTAACTTCTGGGTATTGAGGGTTAGTATGAAAAATCTTCATGAGCAAAGGTTGCCCCATTAAGGAACTGTTCTGGGACTCTACATACATATCAAACGGGAACAAAACTATTTCCGCTTGGGATGTTATTCTTATCCTACCAAAAAGATGCTTCCAGTTTGCCACAAACTGTAAATCAGTCTTAGCTGTTGTTGGCTGATTTTACTAAAACTATCGAAACGCATACCATTTTCCAAAATAAGCTGTGTATAATCTTTAAGTGCTTTCCTGAGTTAACTCTTGATTGGCTTGGTTGTCTTTCATGCTAAAAAACCCATTGTTGTTCTCCACTCCCACTTGGGCATTTTGGACTATGGTCTACTAGTATATTCTCTGAGATTTAGAGGAAACTAGAGAACCATATTTGGGTGCAATACTAGCTGAATCAAAGCTAGAAAACTACACTGTCACTTTACTGAGATTTTTCTGAGTATACTTTTCATATTGCCTTAATGTAGCAGTAATGTGTGTATGCATTTGTTTCTTTGCACAGACATTTTGTCAAAATATTAAAACTCTACTTTTTTATGACACATATTAGCATATAAACCTTACTCCAAGAGGGTATTTATTTTTTCACTTTGTAAGGAAATTTTGTTTCCACATTGAAGCAAGAACTCTGTCCTATATCATAGACAACTTCTGTCTTTTTGTATTCAGGTTAATAAAGGACTTTAAAACCAACTGTCTTTTTTACGGCATTGATGAGAGTAGTCTACTTATTAGCTTCATTCTCAGAAATACCGTACCTAGTCATAACTCTTTGTATCTGCTGTTAAGTATATTGTCCATTTTTACTAAATCTATATATTTTGGGGCCTCATCCATAACAGTATTGAGCATCTGTAACTATTACTCAGATCAATATGGGCAGGTAATCAAGATATCTAAAATATCCTCCCTATCCTAGAGCCAACTATGGAGGAGGTAACATGTGATATAGCTATCCTTTTTCTAGGTAATAAGGATCATTGTTGGTAATTTTCCAGAAAAAATAACAATTTTCTCTGGAGAAATAGATATCTATGAAATAGACTTCAATGAAGAAAAAGGTAGTATTTGACCGGATACAAGATATTGAAAGTCTAGAACTTTAATAGTAATGAAACCTGGGGTTCATCAATAACTGAAGCCCTTTTTATACCAGTGTGTAGATATTTAGAATATTCTCTGGGGTATTAGTTGCCAAACCATTAATCTTCAACTATAGCACTAATAAGCCCGGTCCACTTTGAGCCTGTACAGGTTTCCCTTGATTTAAGCTGTACATGCATTCCCAGAGAACAGCGCATAAATTGAATTTGCATAAAGCGAACCCACTTTACAATGTAACAAATAGGGATAGGTTCTCATGGTGGTGAGGAAGGGAGTGAGGCTGGGACTAGGCAAGGGACAAGGGGAGGGGCGCTGCTCCCAGGGCTGCACAAGGCAGCAAAGCAGAGGGAACAGAGCAGCACTCACCCCAGCCACTGCTGCAGTAGCCCTGGGAGCAGCTGATGTCAGTGGCCTCCAGCCGATGGGCTGCACTGTGTTCCACCTGTCCCTACTCACCTCTGCGCTTGTGCTGCTCAGTGCCCTGGTGTAGGCAGCTGGTATTAGCTGGTCCTGGGGCTAGGGTGAGTGCTGTGCCCCACGCCACTTGGGGCTTCACTTGTTTGCACTCACCCCAACTCGTGCTGGAGTGGCCCTGGGAGCAACTGACACCAGCTAACTGCACCATGGCATGGTGTGGCCCAGGCGCAGGGCGAAGCATGGTGCAGCGCAGTTGCTGCAGGCACTGGCTGCTCCTGGGAAGGGTGAGTGGGGCCATGGCCCTTTCCCCTCCCCCCACAGACTTACCTGCTTGCGCGAGGGGGCATCTATGCTGATTGCATAAGAGTGAATTTACCTTGCATTGAATGAATTATAGGTCTAAATATGCTCATCGCATAACATCAAATTCCCATATAAAGAGCCTGCATAAATTGAGGGATACCTGTAATTTGGTTTAAAACTAATCTCTCCTCTTTTTAAAAAAATAACTTCTACTTAAGTACTCTTTTTCAAAGTTGCTGAGAGAGATGGAGGGTGACCAGACTCAGGACAGCCTAATGTCTCATTTATCTGAGAAGTTGAAGACCCCTGTTCAGATTGATTTTGCCTGAGTCAAGCTAGTGATTTGACCAAGCTCTCATCTTTCAGAACAGTTCCTTAACCCCTATTTTATAAAGCAGGGGGTGTCAGCCAGGGGTATGCCTACCCCCAGGAGTACTTGAGAAGGCCCTAGGGGGTACACATGAGCAGGCAGGGACAGAGTGCCACCTCACGCTGCTGCAGAGGGGCTGGCCAGACATGGGCGGGGGAAGCTTGCACATGGCAGCTGCCACCGCTCTACATTTGGTCACATACTGCCCCCAGCTCTGCTTCTGGACCAGGTGCCATCCCTTCCCGCCCCAGTTGCACCTCTGGCCACCAGGGGTACACTGCTCCACGTCTAACTGGCCAGGGGTAAACTGATCCAAAAAGGTTGAAAACCCCTGTTATAAATTATGTAGAGGCAGGATGCCTTCTGTTGGACCCGTTTCAATTCTGTCTGAAGTATTTTATTCAAAGTGAATGACTCTCCACCATATTGGGGAGGGAACTTTAACTGGAAGGTGTGGGATGCTTGTTATTGAATCTGTTTTCCTCTGGATGTTCAATTTAAAAGTATTCTTTAATAACAGCCAGTTGCCTCTTTAACATTTGGTTGTTTCATTGAAATAGCTAATCTTTCTTGAATCTAGGCCTAAAATGTTTTACAGGCAAAATTGTGAACTTTTTACCATCTTGCATGTGACTGCTTTTTTCTTGAATTTGGGAGGGGCTAATGTTGGGGGGGTTTGGGTGAGGGTATGTATTTTTGGCTTTTTAATAGTATGCTGGTCTGCCCCCCTCAGTTTTTAGAGGATGAAGCAATGCTGGGGGGCAGAGATCAAGGCAATCATTGGAGCTCAGTTTTGGAGACTGGGTTTCTGGTAGCCTTGGCAGGCTGCATTGCTCTTGAATTGAGTGTTAAGGGTACTGTCCTGTTCATCTGTGCTAAAGAAATGATGCATGTTGGTAGATGGTGCCATCTTTGTGGACTGCTCGTAAAAGGTAGAGTTTCAAGCAGATATTCCTGAACCCATTTGAAACTCCCTGCTTGAAAAGGACCAACCCACTTCTCCCATGGATCAAGATCTTTGCTTTGACAGGGAATGGAGCAGAGGTAGGAAAGCAGTAAGAAGTCATTCTGGTTCAACTTAAAAGGGTTATTGACCTCACAAGAAAAAATGATCTGTCAGTCAGAATTCTGTGCATATCAAATTAAAAATGGGCCAAAGACCACAATATTATTTAAATTATTTTTGTAAGTTATGGGGTAATGGAGTTCTCACTACTATGGTAACAGAAAAAAACCCGAAGAGGTAGTTGATATTTTAATAAGTTGAGGTAACAAGGCCATGGAGGTGTAGCCTCAGCAGAGACTGCGCTGGTGAAATAGTTCTGAGCTCCTGTGCTTAAATGTGGGTAAGATGCCCATTTTTATTGCATGCCTCTTAATTTTGATTTACTAGAAATATGTGGCGCTCTCAGAGAACTATTTTCATTAAAATTTTCTTGGAAAAGTCATTTGTTAAAAATTGATAATTTCAGAGTAGGCAAATTTCTAATTTTACAGCTAAGTCTTTTCTTTGAACATGGTTCATCTTTGACTTGTTGGTAGCACACCTATAGAAAATGAATGGTTTACTTTATATGTCTTTACTTACCAGATACCTTTGGCTAATGTGAAAATAAAGTAATAAGAAAACTAGGTTTTATGGAATTACAAGCATTTCACCTTGCCACAAAATCTCATGTAGAAACTTGTGCATGTGTGAAAGTGACAGTATTAAACTGCTGAACTAGAAAATGAGCATTCCCCCCTCCTTTTAAAATTATAAATACTTCCATTTATGAAAACAATCTCACTGCCTTTCAACTTCATTAAATGCCTCCATTTAATACAATGTATTAAATTCACATTTTTTTTTTTACATCTCCATTATCCTGGGAGGAGATAAATGTTTCTCTAACTGTTGTACCACACAAGTATGAAGTCAAAAATAATAAAACTTTTACCAAAGCAGATAATCTTTCTGAAAATATCCGAAAGTGTGATAACTCTTCAGACTTGGTTCTATGATACGATCATCTTATGCTGGTATAATTTTATATCTTGGTTCCAAAGGACAGCTGGAATCTATTTGTAAATTAGCATGAGCATCATTGTATCAAAAAGGCACATGTTCGAACATGTTGACAAATCAGGCTTTAATTCAAATAAGCAAGCAAAATGGACTGCAGGCTTACTGAACTGACAAGATGATCTTTGATTTCTAAAGCAAATAGCTGTTGAATGTCTTTCTGGTATTTCTAATCCTAATTAGGAGAGAGGTTTCACTTTTTCAGGCAATACCTGAACTGTTATATGGACAAGAAAATTTGAGAGCCTACTTTTAGAATATGCTGTAGCCTGCTGACCTACTGATTTGAGAGGACTTGCTGGAGGAGAGTTTCCTGGATATATCACTTAAGTAAAAAGGCCAAAAAGGGGGAACCCTTCTATTCTGTGTTCGGTGAATGGAGTTGTGCTCAGTAGATAACTGAAATTAGCTGCTTAGCATGAACTGAACATTGAGGGGAGCTTAAATGCCTACAGTGCTAAGCAGGCATCTTGTAAATATTAGTGATACCTTAACTCTTGGATTTAGATACTTGCTTCTCTTTAAATCTAGTCCCAGGATGAGAAATGGGGGTCGTGGTACATGAAAACTGATTGGGTGAGTCTGTATGAGATGCTTTACTGTGCAAGTAGCATAGTTTACTGCACAGTAAGCATGCATGTCTACATGTGCATATGCTTACTGCCATGAACGAGACACGCCTCCTAAGGCTGGGGGGACACAGTGGCAAGCGAGGGCCACCCGCAGCTGGCCATGGTGACACTGGTGGCAAGGGTGGGCCAAGCGGAGACCACCCACAGGTGGCCACAGTGATGTCAGCGGGAGGGATGGTGAGCGGTGACTGCCCACAGATGCCGGCAGCAGTGTCAGCAGCTGCCAATTGCAGGGGGGGGCACGGGCCCCCTGTGCCCTCCCTATGTGTCGCGTATGCTTACTGAGCAGTAAATGCTGCTACTTGCAAGTAAATTTGCTACCTGCAAAAGTAAGTAGCAAATTTACTTGTGAATAATTACTGCACAGTAACACTCATGTAGATGCTGACAGGGAGTAGATTTGCTCCCAGTCAGCCCTGCCATTAGGGGCACAACCTGAGGCTAGCCCCAGGCCTCCCAGGGACTGGAAGCCTCTCCTGCCCCAGGGCTGGGCCAGATCAATGGCAGCCTCAGTCCTTAAAAGTCTGCAGGCACTTTGAACCCTGGGGCACATGGGCAGGGAGCCTGAGGCCACTCCAGGCCCCTGTGTCCCCCTGGCCAGGCTGCAGGCTCACCTGGGATATCAGTGGGGGGTCCCACTGCTGTCACTGCTGCCACAGGTGTTGCTCTCGCTGCCAGGCATCCTCCACCTACTGGGCCGCCTCTACACAGGCCTTGGGAAACAGCTCCCCCATGGCCTCACAGATGTCATGCAGCATGCAGGCTGCAATGATGACAGGGGGAGGATTCATAGATGTTAGGG